TAGTACTGGACAGTAGAGCCATTGACAGTAGTGTCAGGTCAGCCTGCTGCAACCAGTGAAGGCCAGCCTAGCACCGTAGGTAGCATAGACAGCACCTGAGGACATCAGCAGAGATAACTGTCCAGACACCTGAGGGACTGGTGCTTACCCTTATGTGTCACACAGGTTTTCTGGTGTCTCTTACTTGTATAACTGTTATGATAGATACAGACACACCAGAGCCAGCGCTGTATTAAAGATCATGTATTTCTAAAGATTGCATTCATCTCCCATGTCCCTCCCTTTCTTTCTCTTTTAGACTCTTGCTGGTGGAAGAACCATTGCATGGCTCTCTGTAAAATTTCTCATTGCAAGTGATGAGACATGTTCTTGTGAATCCTTTACCTCTGCCCTCCCTCTCTGGGTACCACCCACTCACCTTGTTGGGCAGAACTCTGTCAATCTCATCCTGAAGTTTCTTCTGCACAGCAGGGTGAGTAGCCAGTTGATACATCACGAAGGAAATGGACGTGCTTGTGGCTTCATAGCCAGCAAAAATGAAAACAACTGATTGGGCTGTGATCTCCATATCAGACAGAGCTAAAAGGAAACGAACATCTCAGATAAGGAAGATCAAAGCAGAACATCATAGTTGAGATGAAAAGAAATTCAAACGGTGCTCCCGTTGTCTGGGAACGAACAGAGAAAGGCAGTCCAGAGTCCCCGGGACTGAATTCCACGCTGGTGCCCACCTGCAGCCTATCTGTCCTGCTAGACCAGACTCACCAGCACAAATGTGGACGAGCTGGGAGAACTGCCATCTCCCAACAGCTTTAGTGCAGGGGCCGACATGCTCACACCCTGCTACTGTGGCTCTGCTTGCCCCACCACCTCAGCACCCAGATGCCACCTGCTCCCCTCTTCAAGCTTCAGCCTGGAAGCCTGTGTGTCCCCTCAGGCCCCACCTGAAGGCTATGTTCTTCTAAAGAACTGTTCAGTAGGTAAAGCCTGACGATCCACATAAAGGCAGAAGCAGAGAAACAACCACACAAAGCTGTCCTCTGATGTCCACACATGGGCTGGGACGAACACCCCCATATCCATCTTATACACACGCACACGATGATGATACATAATAAATTTTAACTTTTGAAGAGTAAAGTCATGTTAAATAAACAAAATGGAGTACGGTGCTTAGGAATAAGGATCAGCTGCTAGAGTGCTTGCCTAGCATGTCTAAAGCCCTGGGCTCCGTCCTCAGCATCACACAAACCAGGCGTGGTGCTGCAGGCCCAGAATCCCCACACTCAGGGTATGGAAACACAGGATCAGGAGCGTAAAGACATCCTCTGCTACTTTTTTATGTGTGTGAGAGGCAGAGACATATGTGCAGTCCTCAGGGAGGACAGAAGAGAGCCTCCGAGTGGAACCACAGGAGGCTGCGATCCACCTGACATGAACGCTGGAAGCCTACCTTGTGTGCTCTGGAAGAGCAGGAAACACTGTCAACTGCTGGGCCATCCCTCTGGCCCCATCAGCTACATACTGAGTTTGAGGGTAGCCTGGGCTACATAAGACCGTCTCAAAAAATAAATCAACAAAATCTCCAAAACAGGTAAATTAGCTCACCTGGGATGTTGCTGCAAGGAACCCAGCAGCAAGCTCTTGGTCTCTGGTGCTCACAGAGGGAAGACCTGGACCCGCATGAAGAATGGGCAGTGCTGAGCAGAACACACAGAAGGATCAGGGCTGTCGTCTGCCAATTCAAAAGCACCCCACCCCAACACACACAATCTCAGAACCACAGATCACAAAGAATTACTTCAGGGCCAGGCAGTGGTGGTGCACACCTTTAATCCCAGCACTTGGGAGGTAGAGGGAGGCAGCTCTCTCTGAGTCCGAGGCCAGCCTGCTCTACATAGTGAGTTCCAGGACAGCCAGGGCTACAGAGAGACACATTATCTGAAAAAACCAAAAAGGAAAGCAAAGAGGGAAAAAAAAAAAATCAGGACCACAATGACCCACAGGCAGGAGTCTGGGTGTCCCCTTCCCTGTTCTGGCTGAGAGGACTGCCCCAGCCCTGTCCCCTCAGACTTAGTGATACTCTCCAGAGTCACTCATGAGGACAGCTCTCTGAGACTCAGTAATAACAAAGTCTCACGTGGGTGTGGTTCATCTTTCCCCTTATCATCAGTGTAGCTGCTAGTGGTTCTGGAAGGGAAATGAGAAGGGAGAAAAAAATGATAACAGAACTTGATTCTAGATGTGCCCTATAAAACCAGTCCAGGTGCAAAGAACCATTCCATCTGCTTCCTCCCGGGGCAGACAGCATGGCCGGGAAAATCAGAATTACACCTTACCAGCACCTACTTAGCCCAGTGCTGAGTTTCTCTTTCTCTCTCTCTTTCTCTCTCTCTTTCTCTCTTTCTTTCTCTCTCTCTCTCTCTCTCTCTCTCTCTCTCTCTCTCTCTCTCTTTCTTTCTTTCTTTCTTTCTTTCTTCCTTTCCTCCCTCCCTCCCTCCCTCTCTCTCTCTCTTTTTTTGGTTTTTCCAGACAGGGTTTCTCTGTGCAGCCCTGGCTGTCCTGGGACTTGCTCTGTAGCCCAGGCTGACCTCGAACTCACAGAGATCCACCTGCCTCTGCCTCCAGAGTGCTGGCATTAAAGGTGTAAGCCACCCCGCCTGGCACCAGTGCTGAGTTTCTGAAGAGACTGGGGGTGGACGGGACCTCCCTTGCTCATCACCTGCGTCTTACCTTGCTCCTGGAAGGCCTGTGTCCCGTCTCCAGGGCCCTGGCTCAGCTGTTCTGTAGTGCTTGGGCCTAAGCTTTGAACTCCGTCCCCCTGAAGTATCCCCCACTCAGGTTTGACTTCTACGGGCCCCAAGTGGATGCCTGATTGCCAAGATCCTCCGCCAAGGGCTGTGACCAGCTGCTCTCCCTGGGCGTGGCATGGAACCTAAGGAGAAGAATGCCCACACCAATTAGAAGACCTGCTGGAAGCTGTTAAAGAGAGGGCTGAATTAAAACAGAAAGGAAGCAAGGCTGGGGGTGTGACTCAGCTGGTAGCGTGCTTGCCCGCATGCAAGAAGCCCCGAAGTCCTGGGTTCCATCCCCAGCACCACATAAACCCAGTATGGTGGTCAAGCCTGCAACCCCAGCACTCAGTAGAGGGAGGAAGGT